TTTATTTTTTTTACATTTTAGACATATGTAACGTTTTATGGTGAAATATACAGAGTATATTAGAGTAACATTACTTCATTAATGCTCATTACCTCATTAATTGTTAACTAAGGCATGGAAAAAGGAAAAGGACATCTGAACATGTCCCCTTTCTTCGAGATGTTTGCCTGCTTACATCTCCCAGAGACTGCAAGGTTCCAAGGTCCATTAGAAAAACATTCCTGGCAGAGCATGGATGTATAGTGTCTGCTGTGCAGTTTCAGAAGGAGTGGACTGCACAGGAGATTCTACAACACCTGAGGACCCTATTTCAAAACAAACTGAAGAATACGGAGTAAGTTAACACCCATTAAATATACAATCGATCCTGATCACTTAACTATGTTTTAATAAATATATGAAATTGAGCAGTCCTTAGAAAAATGTAAGAGTGTATACATTTTTAGTTGCTTCATTATTTGAAAATATTGTCTACACTTATAAATAATCATGTGATATTTACCCAAGGGTCACAATAATGATGGCAACCTACACCAACTTGGTCAAGCCAGTTTTGGAGGCAGGTCGAAGTCTTGATGGTGTCGTGTTGTGCAAACTTTTCAAAGATAAGACCATCTACCTCCAGCCATCAAGTGATCTAATAGATGAAAAAGAGATGACAGATGAGGTCAATTACATAAATTAACTTAATACATAAATTAAGAATCTATAGTGTGTTTACATGTTCTGCCTATATGTTTTCATTTCGCTTGTTTAATTAGGTGTCCCATCAATATTTTAGTTCTGTTCAGTCTGTGAAGCCATTAAAAAAGGTTAAATGTGAAGTATGTACATTTTGCAACTTTGAAGACACGAAACAAAATTGCAAAAAAGCCATAGACTGATTGAAACGGATTTAGAATGATAACAAAATTCAAGATATGGGGCAGAAAATTATATAATTTCCCACAGGTAATCAATATCACATGAAGAGCTGCCGTTTTTTTCTCTATAAATCAGCATGATTACTGATGGTTTTAATTTTACATTTAAAGTATCTTCCTTTTTTAAAATAATTTCAAATATCAGTATTCGACGCTTTGTTTAAAATATCAAAATATTATTTATGCATTTGTAACTGCTGGTTAAAGCATTCCATGCCACTTCAGATGCAGCTTTTGTGTTTCCTCTGCATTGCAAAGATT